AAAAATGAATGAACTCGCGGACTGCATTCCCGGCAGTTGCACAGCAAGAAGACCGATTGCTCGGATGACTGCGCGCGCGCGCGCGCCAGAAGGAAGAACGGGCGGACTGACGATAGAAAAAAAACGCTGCCATAGAGCCGCGACAGTAGCGGCGTGACGCGTCTCCTAAATCAAAGTCTCGGCCGCATGCGCCTCCGGCCCTCCTGCACCTCCCGCGGCCGGCGCGGCCCGCTGACCACACACACGCTAAGCTGCGCGCCGCGCCGAGCCACGCCGCGCCTTCCGGCCGTAACGCTCTGCGGCGCCACGTAACGCCACGCAACACACCGCAGCGCAGCGTGACAGTGTCGCTGCACGCGGGCGCGGGGAGGGAGCACAAGAGTAAGACCGGGTAAGGGCGACCATCGGTTCATCAGGGGGTAAACGGTGATGAGAGTTACGGCGTGGCGTGGCGTGGCGTGGCGTGGCGTGGCGTGGCGTGAAGCATCGCGACGATGACCACAGCCGCCACTCGTTCCATTCCGCATTGCAGACGCGGCGCGACTACCGAGCGGCCAGGAAGCCCCGCGCGCCTCGACACGGTGACGCTCGAGTGACACACAGACGGCCCGCGGGGGGACGCAGCCAGCAGAGAGGATACAGCCCGTCCTCCGCCTGGCGGGCAAGGCGCGCCGCTCAAATGTGCCCGCTTGGCCGCTCCAGATTCACGAGTCCACTCACTACTTGTGCACTTTCACTCGGCCGGCCCAGCGAATCCGTTTCACTCCCTCGTCCACGCCGCTCGTCGCACCCTCTCCTCTCTCTCGAGCCGAGCCGAGCTAAGCCGTGGCACACGTCGGCGCGATCCGATACAAGCCGAGGGCCGCCGCGGGCGGCAATCTGGTGACCACCGTTGCAATCCCGTCACCACGCCAGAAAGCGCGCCAAATTTAAATCAGACTACTGCAGAGCCCGTCACCGGCGGCCGGGGCGGGGGCTGGCCAGGCAGTCCGGACTGGCTGGCTACCCGACTCGCCAGGTGGCAGTTTTACAAACGACCGGTCATTTCATTTCCGCGCGCCAGTTACACTGTTCATCAAAATGGCAGTGATCATTGTCGTTTCCTGGCGATGATCATTGCCATTTTGGCATTGATCGTTGTCCTTTTGGCCTTGACCATTGCCATTTTGGCAATGAATTGCACTTGAGCCATGCATTGAATTGCACGTCGGCCCGCCAGTGTGGGCCGTCAGAAAGACTAACGATCCCCTCCTGTTTGTTTCAGATGGTCCGACCAACCAGCCTGGGCCCGGGGCGGCCGCCTCCCCCGCGGCTGCTGCTGTCGGCGGGGCTGCTGCTGCTCCTGCTGCTGCCCGGCGCGCTGGGCCGAGGCCACGCTCGCGGCCCCGCTGGTCCGGGGCGCGGGGACGCCCGGGGCGCGCGCGGGGCCGCGAGGACCGCAGCGGGCGACGGGGGCGCGGCGGCGCGGTACGGGGCGCGCATCTCACCGCTGCTGCGCGCCCAGCACGACGACGACACGCTGCTGCTGGCCAGCGCGGGGGCGGGCGCCGAGAAGGACAAGGACAAGGACGACGACGACGAGGACAAGAAGACGCTGTCGCAGCAGGTGGCCGAGGGGAAGTACGGCCTCATCCAGAAGGAACTGTTCGCCACGCCACCACGCCGCCCGGGCGTGCTGAGCTACGCCGCCAACCCCGAGGTGCCGGGCGACACGGCGGCCAACCTGGGCGGGCTGGACGAGGAGGAGATCTGGCTGGCGGAGGACCACCTGCTCGTGCTGCGGGGCGGTGCGTTCCGGGACAAGCCCGGCCAGCAAGAGCCGTGGCCACCCATCGACGACTACCACGCGCCGCCCCGCCAGGTCAAGCTGCCCGCCAACCCGCGCGTGCCGCCGCCCTTCCCCGTGCAGCTCACCGACCACGGCCCCACCCAGTTCCTGACCTCGGCCAACGGCACGCCCCCGTTCCTGCAGCAGGGCTTCGTGCCCCTGGTGCCCTTCAACGGCACGCTGCTCGTGCCGCCGTTCCCGCTACCGCCGGGGCTAGGGCTACCACCCGGACTGCCACCGGGCCAGGTTGGGCCCCCCGGGGGCTTCCTGGTGCCGCTGCCCTTCCCGCCACCCAACGCGTCGCTGTCCCTACTGCAGTCGCTGCCCCCGGGGGCCGCCTTCCTGCCGCCGCCGCTGCCCACCAATCTCAGCGAACCCATCGACGAGGACGACCCCTCAATCTACTACCCGCCGCCCTACGACTTCTACTATCCGAAGGACAACTCGTCCGCCGTGCCGGCTGGCCCGCTCGTCCCAGGCATCATCCTGCCCCCGCCGCCAGACTTCTTCGCGCCCCTCGAGCCGGCGTCCTCCCCTCCCACGTCCACGGAGCCGCCGCCGACCCGGCCGCCGACCCGACCCCGCATGCGGCGGCCGCCCAGCAAGTTCAGGCCGTCGCTGCCCTTCCCCGCGCACCCCGAGAACGAGGTGGATGCGCCGCGTCCCACGCTGCCACCAGAGCACCTCGACCACTACCAGGGCGACTACGAGGGCTACGACTACCGGCGGCCCAAGCAGCAACAGCACGACGTCTTCCAGACCGTCAAGCTGCAGCAGCACGTCAAGGTGCAGAGTGGGGAGGATGAGGAGGCCACCACGGAGAGGACCGTCCTCATCGGCGGACGCCGGCCCGCGTCCACCACGCCCAGGCCCTTCACACACGTCACGGTGCGCAAGAGGATACGGCCCGCGCGGCCCACGCCCTCGCCAGCCCCGCCGCCCAGCGACCTCTACAACAACCTGGTGGCGCCCACGGTCCCGCCCGCGGCCGAGTCCCCCGCCTCGCAGCCCATCTACCAGTTCGACTTCACGAGTCAGAGGGCGCCCGAGCGCGCGCCCGAGCAGGCCCCGGAGAGCGAGGCCTACCCCGACCACACGTACGCGCCCACGGCCCAGTCCGCGCCGCAGCCAGAGTCCACGCCGCAGCCGGTCACCCCGGAGTCCGTGACCCAGGCGCCGGTGGTCACGCAGCTACCGATACGGGTCTACGCCGAGCAGCCCACCACCCCGGCCCCAGCCCCAGAGGAGCCAGTCACCGCCGTGCCCGTGTACCAGGGCGATGCATATCTGCAGCCCGTCTCGCAGGCGCCGTACAGGCCGTTCTACAAGCCCAACAGTCAGTACCACGAGGAGCTTGTCCCGATCAGGCAGTACCAGCAAGAGCACCCCGTCACGAGGGTGCACCCCTACGAGCAGCAGGTCACAGCCGCGCCGGTGCGCCACTACCAGCAAGAACCTATCAGGGTCTACCAGCAAGAGCAGCACAATATCCAGCAATACCAGCAGGAGGTGCAGCCCGTGCGCCAGTACCAGCAAGAGCACGTGCCCCTCAGGACGTACGCGCAAACCGTCACATCAATACCGTTCCGGCAGTACCAGGAAGAGCACACCGCGACACCGGTGCCCGTCAGAACGTACCAGCAAGAGCACCCCGTCACGCTTTCGTCGGTCAGGCATTACCCGCAAGAACAGTCCGTTACGCCAGTGCCCATCAGAACCTATCAGCAAGAGCACACCGTCACTGCTGTGCCCGTCAGACATTACCAGCAGGAACAGCCCGTCACATCAGGGCCCATCAGGACGTACCAGCAAGAGCACGCCGTTACCCAACTACCCATACGACATTATCGACCGGAGCACCCAGTCACGCAGCAACCCTTGAGGCAGTACCAGCAAGAACACCCCGTCAC